TTATTATATCACCCAGAAATTTGATGCCACTTAACTATGTAATTTTCAGAAATGATATAAAACCACTGCAGAAAAATATTCAGGGAAGCCCAAAAGACCTCTTTTTATCTGTTTTTATGAGTCTAAAATGAGAACTCGCAGAGATCCTTGCTCTGTATGTGAAGGCTGAACTGCCACCTCGGGAGCTTTATTAATATGTATGTAAATATGATCTGGTTAGATCCTGTGTTTCTGTGCCGTTTCACAAGGTGGAGCGGCTAACTAAGCTGAACAGATCAGCGCCCTGTGTTTTTTTTTCCCCTCCCAAGTAGCAACATTTAAAGATTCAAAGAGAATGAGGACAGCAGCCTCATTTATGCAAGATTGTCTCAAACATCCTTCCTTCCTTCCTTCCTCCCTCCCTCCCTCCCTCCCTCCCCCCCTTCTTCCCTTCTTCTTTCCTTTCCTTCCTTCCCTCTCTTCTCGCCCTCCACCCCGCCCCAATTTCCACACCTGTATCAAAAACAATTTACTTCTAACTTAGCATAAGCTTTTACATTAAAGACTGAGCAGAAACCAAAATGACATCACACAGAATCTGCAGCTACAATTTTTCTTCCACTGAAAAGTTGCTTGACCAAATGGGGAGAAAGTGGAAATGCATTAGAAATATGTCCAAGCGGCACATCAAGATTATCCTCCATGAGGATATTGGGACTTCCTCTTTACACTGATGCTAATGTTATTTATGCATCTATATCCATGCCAAATTTTTGCTAAAGACATTGCACGATTAAAAAAAAATTAATAATAAAAGGAAAAAGAAAGAGAAACCTAGAAGATAAGCCTCTGTGCTGAGAGTTCAGCACAGAGTTCAACTCAGCATGCCCTGCTGTATATAGGATAAAATGGAATATTTGACATCAGATGAGCTTGTTTTTCCCTATAAGGATGGTGTTTCTCTATGAAAACTCCTCAAATCCCTTACATATTATGAAAACAGAAAAGATTATTATCTTAATACAAGATATTTAGTGCAAGAGAGTGCTTTCTCTCCCCTAATTTAAAACAAGGGACCATAGTACTTTTAAAGCTAGCAAAAAGCTTGTTTTCTTCTTGCAGATTATGCTCCTATTTTACTTGGCCTTTTTTCCTTTCTTTTAGACACATTTTTGGGGTTGGGGGGGGGAATTGGGTGTTTTGTTGCTGTCGTGGGGAGCTGCCGTCCCAGGTTTGCAGGCCGGTGTCGGAGGCCGGAGCTCGCCTCGTGCCCAGGACCGCGGAGAGGAGGCGGGGGGGGCTCAGCCCCGGTGCCGGCGGCGGGCGCCCAGCACGGCCGCGCATCTCGGGACAAAGCGGGGCGATGCCGGGGCCGCGCCGCCCGGGCAGCCCCCGGGGACCCCGGGCCCTCTCAAGGGGCCGCTGCGGCCGGTGGGGAGGAGACAGAAGCGCGGGGCCAGCTGCAGATGGAGGCAGGTCGAGGGATAGGTCAAGGTTAGAAAGAGCCTGCTATTGATCTGGCTTTGAACGCGAGACAGGGAGAGCAGAGAGACTAAAGGGGGAGCTGTGAGACAAGACATTAACAGCTTTCAGTGCTAATGATCACAAGTGCCAGACAGGGGAGGAAAGAGAAGACTGAGAAATCACTTTGGAATTTTTTTTTTCCTCTATTGGGATGTATTTTCGGAGGAGGAGGAGGCAGGCTGGGGGTCAACCCCCGAAGCCCTGCCCGCAGCCGGAGGGACGGGAGGGGAGTTGCGGCGGCCCCGCTGCCCCGGGCGGCGGGGGAGTCCGCCTGGTCAATCATTGCCGGCCCTTATCTCCTGCTCTCGGTGCCCACAGGAAGACACTGGTTAATCAACAGATGATGCCCAGTAACTTCCCGATAAGCCGCTCTCCCAAGGGGTGCAGCTTCCTGCAGCTCGCCGAAGAACGGCGGCGGCCGGACTTTGCACCCCACAAGGGCCCCGTGGCCGCGGCCGCAGCCCCGCGGCGTGGCCTGGGGACGGGCAGCAGCGCAGCCACACAAAGCCTCTCGGCCCCGCCAGCCGCGAGCAGAGCGGCATCAAAGCGGGGAGAGCCGTGCGGGCAGCTCCATCCCCGCTGATCGGCCCGGGCCCCTTCCCGCGGGGGCGGAGGTCAGCGAGGGGAGCCTCTTCTCCCCTCCAGCTCCGCCGCGATGGTGCCGCATCCTTTACCCCGACTCGGACACGGCTGCCTAGCAGGGCAGGAGTGGGGGCTCCCCCTCAGGGCCCCGGGGTCCTGGACCTGTCCCTCCCCGCCCAGCGGCGGGGCCCCTGCCATCACCACGGTCATTTTCCTTTGCAGGACCCCGCAGAACACACCAAACACACAGAGGGAACAATCGCAGCAGTTTAAGCGCCGTTAATTGTCTTGGACGTGTTTGTCGAGCGTTAGTAGAGGCGAAGGGCCGGGCGGGGGCACGGAGGGCAGTGCCAGGCTGGCCCGGCGCCCACCGGCCGGGGCTGGGGGTGCCCGCCGCCCTCGGCACCCGCCGGGCCGGGCTGCGGGGTCTGGCAGCGCCGGAACGCGAGCTGTGAGCGGGCGGGCGGGCGTGGGGAAGGAGAGGCAGATTTGCTGGAGGAGGCGAGAGCGATGCTGTTTAGCCAAATTCTCCTCAAAGCTGATTAAGGGCACCGAGATGAATTCTGGTCCCCTCAAGAGTCTCATGCGATTTAATACGAAAATCACTCATTTACGGTGGAAAGTAAATGACACGAGTGCGGCGCGGGTTTCCAAGTGGGTTCCGGGTACAGGCTGGTTCCTTGGTTTTCTGCTCCATCTGCCTCCGAGCCCCCAGGCCTCCCCTCTCCCCGTTCCTCTCGCCCTGGCCAGACCTGGTGCTGAAAAGCTGTTTGCACCGAACTGTTTACTTATCGGGGGAGGAGGAAGAGAAACAATCTCAGGAGATGGGCCGGGAGAGCGGAGGTAGAGGGGGAAAAGTTGGTTACCAAGAATCTTCCAAGTTAGAAACGCACGCAGTTGTGGGCATTTACCTGCGTGTGAAATAGAAGGACAAGTGCACTGGGATGCAGCTCCTGGGAGCTCGGCGTCTCTCCGTTCGTAGCTGAGACTTAATTTCTCCAAGGAAAAATAGTCTCTGCCAGGATTTTAAGGGAAGGGGGGTTGGGGGGTGGGAGAAGGTCGGAGCGTGTGTGCGTGTGCGGCTCGGGTGTGCGCGCGTGTCCCGCTACCATCGCACTTCGGGTAGGGAGAGAGGAGGGGGAAAAAATCCCTTTCCCCAGCCCACACAGATATTTGTGTTGTTGTAAAACTGTTTGAAAGAAATGCAGGGGGAACGCGCTCGCCGCCGAGGAGCTGCGGCGGCGCCTGGAGGGAAGGAAGAGCAGCCCGCGACCCCTGGGGAGTCTCCGTTCCTGGGCACGGACGGAGGGAGCACGACCCAGCGCCGAGCCCGGGCGGCGGAGAGCGGCGGCCGCGATGGGCAGCGGCGAGGCGGCGGCCCGGGCGGGCAGCGCGCACGGGCGGGCAGCG